GGAAGGTCACTCACTGGGCTTCGGCTGCGGAGGAGAACTCGGGTGGGACCGGCAGTCGTGAAGAGGCACCGGGGGGGGGGCTAGGAGACCTCAGGCTCGCCGCCGGCAGAGCCCGTCCCGAGTCCGGCTGTTTCCGAAGGCGGGCGGAAAGGAAACTCGCGGGGTCAAAAGGAGGGAAGGTGGCCGCTCCCTCCTTCCCAGGGGGCCATCCCGCTGCAGAGGGCGGCAGCGGCATGCGCTCAGCCCAGGCCAGCCCGGCTCCATCCATGCAAGGACAGCTCTGCACCGATGGCTAGACGGTGCGGGCGCCGGAGCCGTCCTTGCATGGATGGAGCCAGGCTGGCCTGGGCTGAGCGCGCGCCGCCTCTGCAGCGAGATGGCCCCCTGGGGAGGGGGGAGGGGAAAGAGAGAGAGGGGGCGGGCAGAGACCCTCGATCCCCGCTGCCTTTTCTCTCTCCGAGGGGGCGCGAGGCCCTGCTCCCCGGCCCCTTCCCATGGCGCAGGCGATCGCTCGATTAGGGTGGGGGCGCAGTTTGGCCCCCTGAGGGCTAGCGCGCTCTAGGCGAGCGCCTAGCTTGCCTAGTGGGCTAGCCGGCCCTGCACCCAGGTCTCGAACTGCTGAACTACTGACCTTCCACAGCCTGCAGTTCAGTGTCTTAACCACTTGAGCCACCGCAGCTAAAAGAAGACCTGCCCACTAATTTATCCAAGGCAATAATTGCATCATGTATCTAGCACTGTGTTTTGTAATCATCTTTTTTTAACTAGGCTACCATCCTGTGGATTTTCACCGGAGAGAATTTGTAACATTCCATCAACGGGCATCTTGCGTTATGCTACTGAATGTCAGGAAAATATACCGGTAATAGTTTTGCTACTAGAACAGTGATGCCCTTAGTGACGTTAATTGGACTCAGTGAGGGACCTAACTGCCAGAAGGTAAGTGTTCTGTAGCCAAAAGGAATAATACGTTGTGCATTCCTATGGCTCATGAAATGTGACTTCTCCTTGGAAGGTATAAATAAATACACATTATATACATCGAACTTTTACTGCCTACAGTTAAGTTGCACATCTAAAAAATATCACAGAGCTGGAAAGTGTACAAAAAAGGCAACAAAATGATCAAGAGGTTGGAACAGCTTGCCTGTGAGGAAACATTAAAGAATATAACACTTTCCAGTTTAGGAAAAAAGACATTTAAGGGGCAGGATGATGGAAGACATGATAGAGGTTTATAAAAATTTGCTTGGTCTTGAGAAAGTAGACAGAGAAACTTTTCTTCCTCTCCCAAAATATTAGAACTCAAGGGAGGCCCAAAATTAAGTACTAATCACACAATGTACAATTATAATTAACTTATTGAACTTGCTGCCTTGAAACTTCAGAGAAAGGGCAGGGCAAACTAGGGGAAAATGTAGCATTTCTCATCTCATAACTGTATGTAGGTATTGAGGATTGTGCTGTGGGCTCATCTGCTTCTCCTTCTCCCTCCCTTTCCCGCTCTAATTTTCTCCCATCCATGGCTTGCTTTGTGTGTACAGTAATACATCTGTGTTGAAACCAACTCTGATTACTGTTTGGTGTAGTGGTTAAGTGCGCGGACTCTAATCTGGGAGAACCGGGTTTGATTCCCCACTCCTCCACTTGCACCTGCTGATGTGACCTTGGGTCAGTCACAAGCTCTGGCACAGCTGTCCTTGAAAAAGAGCAGTTTGTGTCAGAGTTCTCTCAGCCCCACCCACCTCACAGGGTGTCTGTTGTGGGGAGGGGAAGGGAAAGGAGTTTGTAAGCCGCTCTGAGACTCCCAGTGAAGGGCGGGGTATAAATCCAATCTCTTCTCTTCTTCTTCTTCTGTTATAAGTAGGACCAGAAGAGGGCATGCAACTTAGTATTAACTGTGACAGAACAGATGATGACATAAGAGAAAAAGGAGGAACACAAGTCCACAACATGCTCCCAATCTCTTAACCATGTTCAGGGGACGAGAGATATGGCCTGCTGAGGATGAAACTGGATTTGAACCTGTACTGCAGAAGTTACAAGAACTATTCAGGGGACGAGAGATATGGCCTGCTGAGGATGAAACTGGATTTGAACCTGTACTGCAGAAGTTACAAGACAAGGTTTAGCCATCAGATTACACTTGTCTGGGACTCTCACTCTCTGGACTCTGCTAGCACAGTATCAGTGCGTCACAAATGCATACACTTCCTCAAAGCCGTTCAATAGACTTAAAAAGAGTCTACTCACCTTTCTTCAGTTGCTCGGCTGCAGCAAGAGCCTCGTGCAGAGTCACTCCTGCTCCGATCACTGTAACCTGATCATCCTTGCTCTTGAACACGACCTGGAAAACAAACGTTAAAGACAAATTAGTGGTAGTTCAAGGGTTGAGACTTTGGGGTGGGGGGGTGTTGGTGGTTAAAGAGAGTTCAATGTCAAGCAGTGATATCCTTGCAAAGGAAGTATTTCAGTAATTTTCTAGAATAGATGGTACTCACCTTGGCTTGTCCAATACGGAAGTCCTCATTGCTGCTGTAAATCACAGCATTTTCTGGACGACTAGTCCTTATGAAACATATGCCCTGTAGTTGTTTTTTTGAAAAAAAAAGGAAAGATCACAGCATGGATTACAAGAGCAGTCGTACTAGACACCAAATGAAACTTCCAAATAATTTCTTCCCCCCATTCAGCTTGCACCTCAGTAGTGAAACACACATTTTCACACGTTAACACACAGTTTAGTTCTCCTGGGACTGCCCTAGTTTAGGATACAAACAGGAAACTCCCATGTCTGAATACCACGCCATAAGAATTCCCAGTCTGTGGAAAGGTAAACAGTCACAAAGAAGAATGTAGTCTTCCACAACAAAGTATTGTTTTTATTAAAAGAAAACATTCAAATGTACATTTCCCCTGTCAGTTGCAGTCCCAGAACAAACCAAAGGGTTTTATCCTGCAGTTTTTTCTGCCCATTAAAGGGGGTCAAGGGCCCCCTTCTGACCACCATAAAAATTATGCCATGGTTTATCAGACCTGCATGGCAGATCGGATAGGCGCTATGGTGACAGAAAGGAGAAAAGCCAGTAAGATCAAACCCTAACACTTGTATACAATAAGTTTTTTTTAAACTACACTGATGGTTCTTTTCTAGTTGCATTTTTCTTCTTCAAATGTCACCGGAAAATTCATGAATGTTTTTGGGGTGTACACAAAGCTCTAATGGAAAATCTCAGGGTGCCAAATGCTGTTTCACATATAGTTCATTCTTTCAACAATAGATCTGTAGAAGAGGATAAAATTAAATGCCCTGAATATAGCCTTAGGGAAATCCAATTTTATGGTTCTTTCTGTACAAATCATGATAACCTTCTAAGCAGAGCTGACAGGAAAAGCGATATAGGGGCTTTGGGGAACAGGCAGGAAAAAGGTGGCCAGAAGAACAGGAGAGGTCACCAAGCACGTCCTGCAGCCCTCAAGAAAGAACAACAAGCTTAAGCACTGGGATATTTAATCTCAAAATGGGAAACCTTGCTCCTCAGTTTTTGAATTTAGTAGGTTTTTAATGTTGTCCCTTATGATAGGTTCAATCTACTTTAAATAATGAAGCGAAGACGGAAGACCACAGGCAGATCACACCCTGAACGAGGCAAAAGTGTTCTTTGAAGAATTAAAATTCAGCAGTGTTACCGCAAAGTGGCATCCAAAGAGGGAGAACGCCATGGCCCTATTTCCATTCAGAATATGTTCAATGTATCTATCGTTTGAACCACAAGTTCTGCATACTTCCAATTCAGTCACCTCAAGGCACAACGAGGATACCTTTCACACTGTTTAGAAAAGCCTTGAATATAATTACTTAAACAGCACAATCCTAAGTACATTTCCCCCAGTGTAAGCCTGTTGAGCGCATCTGATTAGAACTGCACTGCAAACCTTTTTAAGTGAATGCATTTGTGAACTGTTTCAGACCTTAGTATTTGCAGCCAGTTCAACCGCCTTTTCAGTAGATACAGCATCACTAGGATAGAAGACTGTTGCATTAGGAATGGTACGAAACATGCCCAGATCTTCCAGAGCCATCTGTGAAGGTCCATCCTCACCTAGAGAGTCAAGGTTGAGAAAATGTCAATATAAAATTGAACTGATGCCTCCTCAGGGTACTACTGAAAGCAAATAGTATCTAAAACAAAGAATAAGGCACTCACAGGCATGGAAGACTACCTACCATCTTCTCCTTAAACTTGGAACTCTCTAAATAGCAAAGAAAGAAGATAGAAGGAAACTAAAAAGAAAGAGAACTAGGGTTATAAAGAAAAATCAAGAAGAATTCAACAGTAAAACAGTAACTAAAACAAAAGTACAGAGGCAAAAGAACAAAAACATAATTGGAGGTAGGTGAATATATACACATGCAAGTACATGTGGTCAAATGACATAAGAACATAAGAACATAAGAGGTACACATGCAAGTATATGTGGTCAAATGACAAAATACCATGTGGTCAAATAAACAAAAAGTGTGAGATAACTGTGCCAATCCTATGAATAGCATTCATTCGGAATTTTATCAGTATGCCCCAGTCCAGCCAGGGGACACCAAAATCCTGTGTGTTTTAAAAATGCAAGAGCATAGTACCAAGCTGGACTATCAACCCTTCCACCCGAGCTGCCAGCCCAGCAAGCTGTCTTTAGCCAAGGCTTGTAAACTGGAGCCTTTTTCTCAGCCTTAGTATTGTTTATTATTCATTTTAATTACTGCTACCCTACTGTCTCCAGCAGAGGTTCTCAAGACTGCTTGTAGAAAATTAAAACCAATGCAAAATCAAACATTTAAAGAAGATCAACAACAAGCCTTGTGAAAAAGCAAGTCTCTGCTTGAGAGTACACTCCTCAGAATTGTGACTATCTAACCTGGATCTCCTCCCAATGAAAAACACAGAATTAACTGACAGTCCCCTGCTGGTTGCCCTGATTGCTGCATGGATCCTATAGAAAGAAAAAAAGGACATGCCTAAACCTGATACTGTCACATAATAGGTTCGCCTCTGAGTTTTATAATGTGCAGCAGCCACCTACATTGAAAATAAGGCAATCATTGCAAATGACACTTTAAAAGAAATGCCAGAAAATTATTATACTTAAAAAAAGAAAAGAATCTAAGCTAGCAGACTGAGCAATCAATCTGGAATACCAGAGCAACAAAGCAAAATCCACAATCAAAATTCTTGAATGGGAGCCAGTCAGTTCAAGCTTTGCCAAGGTCATCTGTCTATGTTAGCAATGCACATATTAACTAACCAATTCAAAAAAGGAAACTTCCACTGACCTCCAAAGAGCTCAGATTGAACCTACTGTTTTTGAAGGTTTTTATTACTATTTACAAATACAAAACCTCTGCTTACTGCATGTGATAAAACTATTTAGGATCTGTGATGCTCAAAGGTTTAGAGGCTATTTATGCAGAGATCTGTTACATGAAAGTGTCCACACTATATATATAATAAACAAATACGTTTTTTGTACTACTATGCTTTGCTGTATTGATTTTCAGTGCAGTCAAAGCATCTTGCACAGGACAATTTCTAGAACATGACAGAATACACATTGCTGCATTAAGTTTCTAACCCTCTGTTTGTTTGTGTACATCCTATAGGAGGACTGGCTATGGAAAACCAAGGCTTTTTGCATTTTTGATATGGGGCATGTGGGGGCTTGCCAGTCAGAAATGTGTTTTTCAGTCTGTAACGTGGAAGGGTCTCCCTTCCTCCTCCTCCTCCTCCAAACAAAACCTGCATTTATGGCTTTGGCATCTCAGGATAAGCAGTAGCAACAATCAACACGCTGTCTCCCTTGAAGATTCTGTACCTAGCTCCAGGAGCCTTGAGGGGACAAAGAGACATCACTCAGTCCCCAGCTCCTGCTATATCAAGAAGTTATGGACGGTAGTCCTCTGATGGATTTTCTATCTTGTAGCTTTAATGGGCTAGCGGACCTTCAAGGCTTAAAGAGGAAGAACATGTTGTGCTTCTCCAGGGGAAATTAGTATATACTCAAGGAAAGCTACTAAGTAGCAAAAAGTGCCCCATCACATATGAAATGTGCGTCTTCTTTTTCTAACACTGCAACTGGCCAGCCAAACCACACAGGGGTTATCTGATCCATGTATCTGCAGAATATCAGTTCTTGAGCCATACTTGTTATGTGACGGTGCATCATCTTTCACTGTTGCCTAGTTCCAGATTATGCAGGAAAAATACCCAGATCAACTTGAGTGATAGAAGACATGCACCTTCCAACAGTCAAATTGTGCAGCCTCCTTTGCTTCCTGCTCTCTACCCTTTAGCCTTCCCTGCTGTTCTTAAAACTGTACCAAGTACCAAGAACTGGCAAACTGAATGCCATGTATGAAACACGGCCTCATCCTCTTCCTAGGAGGATAGCTCTGAACTCAAAATATTGTGTGTGCCCTAGGATTTATACAAGGTACTCAACTATGTTAAAAGCTGGCTCAAACCAGGAACAGCATTCTGCAAAAATCACTAATACATACTCTTAGTTTTCTATGTAAAAATAATATTATTATGCTTAAAAAAATAAAAACGGAAAGTCAACGGCAAATATTACAACGATAAGATATTGACATCAAACAAATAAAAAGCTGGAAGAATTCAATGTGCCTATCAGGCTAATAATTTTAAAAGGGATTATTTCATTGGACATTTTGAAAACACTTTTCTGATTGTCAGACAGGCAAAGTGAAGCAAAGTGATTTAAGATGCTTTTTAGGTTTTCTGAATTCACACAGAAATCACATGTGTCAGAGTACTGAGTGGTATTCCTATAAATTTTAAGTTGCTTCAACATCTGGAGGACCAGATATACCATTAGGAGATGCTCCACAGGATGTCTACTAGCTTTTTTTAATTAATTAGATGCTTGCTTTGTACATGCTTTCCCCCCACCATCCATGGGAAAAATAGCAATTTGGAAGGGGAGTCTTATTTAGAAGAATGACATACGGGAAATATCTGATTCCCTGTCTGCATGCCTGCTGCTTTCAAAAATTAAAAGAACGACAGAAGAAGAGAAACACAACAGCCTGCCTGGTTCTCAGAAAATTCCGTAAGTATGTTTAAAGATACTTACCAATGGAAACACCACAGTGAGATCCACAGAGATTGATGTTGCTCTCAGAAATGGCTGCCATACGGATCTGATCAAAGGCCCTAGTGTAAAATGTGGCAAAGGTGCTGACAAAGACAACATTTCTGTCACGAGCAGCACAACCGACTGCAACACTCACCTGTTAAGGAGAGAGAAAAGGCAGTCAGCTAACTTGGGATACTTTGGATTGGATCCAAAACATGGAACTGGATCCAAAGCATATCTCCGGCTCCAAACCAAGGTTTCTGGGATCACAGCTTGTACTAAAAATGTGTGCGCCAATAATTGATAATTGTATATGAGCTGTTTTACTGAACATCTAAGTTTGACTCTACTTGGCTCTGAAGAAATTATGTTTTGCAGGAGTCATTTCGTAGAAAAAGAGGTGCAGGAGCTCATTAGCATAACTCATTAGCATAACTTATTTGCATCTGCCACACAGGCAACACCCACCGCTCAGGCTCCACTGGACTGTTTTGGATTGCTAGTTAGTGGTGCGGGGGGACGGGACGTGAAGATCTATCCTCACAGAGGAGGGAGAGATTGTACCTGAATAAAACGTGGTCTTAAAGGTGCCACTGGACTGTTTTAGACCGGGGCCCCGGGGGG